TTTGGTCACTGAGTAGGTTTGTGTCATTAAACACTGTTTAAAGTAGAGATGGCTCCTGACAGTCACTTCCTGTTTGGTTCTATACTCATCAACTGTCCAACGTGCTTCAATAAGAACGTGTCTTATTGTTGAGAACCTGAGGAGGACGAGTGCTCGGTCTCTGTCCACATGCTACTCACTGAATGGAGTTGGACTGATGAGGTGGACGTGACTGACAGGCTGGGTGAGGGACAGATGACTGAGGGACAGTGAGCAGAGCAGGTGTGTGCAGGTGAATGGAGTTGGGCTGATGAGGTGGACGTGACTGACAGGCTGGGTGAGGGACAGATGACTGAGGGACAGTGAGCAGAGCAGAACTGAGACAGTTCAATTTAAATAAATGAACAAATAAGAAAGAACTTTAGAAAAGTGAACATTCAAGGATTTAAGGACCTGACCTCAGAGTCTCCAGTCGACAGGTTGGACTCTCCAGTCCAGCACACAACAGCTTCACTCCTGAGTCCTGCAGCTCGTTGTAGCTCAGATCCAGTTCTCTCAGATGTGAGGGGTCTGACTTCAGAGCTGAGGCCACGACTTCATAGTGAATCTCTGAGAGTTCACGACCACCGAGTCTGTAATTAAAGAAAAAATCCAATGTGTTAGAATAAAATCAGAAAACACAACATTCATACAAAACGTGATCATGTGACCCTCACCGTGGTTAATCCACTTTTTGCCTCTCGAACATTTGATCTTAAAAACACCTCAAGAGAATCCTTTCAGATTTGGTACAAGCGTTCATTCAGACTAACAGATGACCTCATTAGATTCAGGTGGTCAAAGGTCAGAGGTCAAGGACTTGAACATGACGTCTCAAGTCTGTCTTTAGAGAACTTCTTCACATTTTGACCAGTTGGACTCAAAGATCAACTGATTAGATTTCAGTGGTCGAAGGTCAAAGGTTACAGTGACCTCATATTATTGTGAATGCAACATGTCAGCGACCTGCAGGGACTGACTCTGCACTGGTTGGTGGTGGTGCACAGACACAGGATGAGAATTCTAGTTTGAAGAAAGAATAAACTGTTCATGTTTAAAACTTTTCAACTAAGTTCACGTTCATTTGTTCTGTTTTTTATTGG